GGGGAAGACCCAATCGGATTTATACTCATCGCAATTACAGCGAGAGGATCTGCCTGAACAATTGAAGGGAATCCTCCAAGAGTATTCCGACGTCTTTCCGGACGAATTACCGATTGGGCTTCCACCTGTACGAAAGGGGCACCAATTTAAGATAGATTTGGAGGATGACGTCCCTCCGGTCCATCGGCCCCTATATAAACTGAGCCCGCTCGAGTCGGCCGAGGCGAAGAAGCAGATCGAGATGCTGCTCGAGCACAAGTTTATTCGCCCTTCCGAATCCCCATATGGCGCACCCGTCCTATTCGTTCCTAAAAAGGATGGAAGCTTGCGGTTCTGCGTGGATTACCGCTGGCTGAACAAAAAGACGATCCGGAATCAATATCCCCTCCCATTACCGGAGGAGTTATTTGATCGTCTGGGCGGTTCAAAAATGTTCAGTAAAATCGATTTGAAATCTGGTTACTGGCAGATACCGGTGCGAGACGGAGACGTTCAAAAGACGGCATTCAAAACTCGCTGGGGTCTATTTGAGTATTTGGTGATGCCATTCGGTGTTACCAATGCCCCAGCGCAGTTTATGAACATGATGAACGATCTCCTAGGAGAGTATCTCGACCGATTCATCCTTGTTTTCTTGGATGATATTTTGATATATTCTGCCACGTTAGATCAGCATACTAAACACGTGCGCCAAGTGCTACAGAAATTGCGGGAACATCGACTCTATGCAAAAGCTTCAAAATGTGAGTTTGTCAGGGATTCAGTAGAGTTCCTCGGACACCAGATTTGTGGTGGAGGACTGACCCCGACAGAGGTCAAACTGCAGGCAATACGCGATTTGGCCACACCCCAGAACGTAACAGACGTTCGTTCGTTCTTGGGGTTCACGAATTATTACCGGAGATACATCCGGAATTATAGTGATATTGCCGGGCCTATGACTGATCTCACGAAGAAGGAGATGGCATGGCAATGGGGCCCATATCAGAAAAATGCGTTTGCTGCTATGAAAGAGGCTTTCTGTCGTGCGCCAATTTTGATTTTCCCAGATCCTAAACTCCCGTATACGATTTTCACCGATGCCTCGGGCACAGGTGCGGGAGGTGCATTGTTACAGGATCAGGGAGATGGTATGAGACCAGTCGCGTTTCTGAGTAGACGACTCAAGCCGACGGAACAGAGGTATTCGGCTTATGAACGCGAACTGGCCGTAATGGCGTATTGCTTATAGAGCTGGCGACATTATGTGGAGGGCTGTCCTGGCGGGGTGGTCATTCTGACAGACCATCAAACACTAAACCGCATTATGGATCAGCCAGTGCTTACCCGGGTGCAGACCAGATGGATGCGATTGGGGTTGTTTCAGTCGATCAATCCCATAATCAAGTACCATCCTGGGAAAGCAAACATTATCGCCGATGCTCTGAGTAGGAGTCAGAGGAGTGTAGTGGAACCGGCAGAGCACGAGACAGAGAATACCGGTTCCCTCCTTACCGTGACAGCTCACATGGAGATGGATCAGGAGGAGAGCCACAGATGGATCACAGCATATGAGGCAGATCCACGTCTGGGGACAGTGTTGAGTACTTTACGGCAAGGTCAAAGAGCAGATGACTACTTGTTGACACCCAGTGGATTGATTGGGATAAAGAAGCATGGTCAAGTGAAGATCGTTGTACCTGCGTCCTTGCGTCAGAACATCTTGAGGGAATGCCACGATAGTCCCACTGCTGGACACGTGGGCATACGCAGGACATTGGAACAAGTGGACAGGCAATTCCATTGGCATGGACTCAGAGGAGATGTTACTTCATACGTCAGGAGTTGTCCGACCTGTCAGCAGATGAAGTCGGATAACAGGGTCAAAGCCGGTCTTCTGCAGCCCTTAGAGATTCCCTCACGGAAATGGGCTCAGGTGACAACCGATCTGGTCACTGACTTACCAGAATCGGACGGCTATACTGCTATTGCAGTATTTGTGGACCGTTACACCAAAATGGTTCACTTTGCCCCATGCAGGAAAGAAGTAACAGCCATGGAATATGCCCGATTGTTTGTTGACCATGTCTTCCGTCTACACGGTCTACCGGAAGTCATAATATCTGACCGAGATCCGAGATTTACCAGTAAATTCTGGAAAGGTCTGTTTGACCTACTGGGCACTGATCTCCGGTTCAGTACAGCGTTTCATCCTCAGACGGATGGCCAAAGTGAGAGGGCCATACAAACGCTGGAAAACTTCCTACGACCGTATATTGAACGAGATCCACAACACTGGGTGAAGCAATTGCCGTTAGCGGAATTCGCCGCGAACAACGCTGAAAATGTGGCCACGGGTTATTCACCGTTTTTCCTTAACTCGGGAGACCATCCAATTTTGCCTACATCGATATTACAAGGACATGGAACCTCCCGAGTAGAAGCTGTACAATAGATGGTGGAACGGATGAAGACTGCCCTGGAGGAAGCACAGGCCAACCTTGCCCACGCGCAACGCCGTGCTCAGTATCAGGCAAATAAGTCGCGTCGGGATAAGAGTTATGAGGTTGGTGATGAAGTATTACTGGCAACGCGGAATTTGAGTATCGACCAGCATCTTCCGTCCAAAGTCAGACGACGCTGGGTCGGTCCCTTCCCAGTAGTCAGGGTGATTTCTTCAGTGGCTTACGAGTTGCGTCTTCCCTCAGGTTGGAAGATTCATCCAGTCTTCCATGTTTCCAACTTGCGGAGACATGTCCGTTCAGAGAGGTTCGCACGGGTGGAGAAGCCACCTCCCCCGATATTGGTTGACGGAGAGGAGGAGTATGAGGTGGAAGCGATTCTGAGGCATAAGGGCACAGGAGCCCGGCGCCTCTATCAGGTCCTCTGGAAAGGTCATCCAGTGACTGAGGCTTCCTGGGAGCCTGAATCGCATCTCCGTAATGCTTCCGCCCTCCTAGAGGATTACCTGCGCCGGGTCGTTGCATCTGAGCCAAAGCGATCCCGGAAAACAAAAGGAAAACAGAACAAGTGATGGTGTCACCGGGGAGTTCCGAGTGCCGGTCGTTGATGCGGTGGGATGGTTACAGTTGGTGATGGGGTCTTACGTCTCGGGGGTAATCGCGTTCAGCGCGCCGAACCGGACTTGGATCTATAGGTTGCAACTGAGCCACCGTGCCGGCCGTACATGAGCACATCGTTGGTGCCGGGGGCCTTGTTTCTGTTTGGCCTTTGTATATCATGGGTTTCGTCGGGTTTTTCTTTACTTCACTTACTCCGTGTCTTGGGACAGCCACTTTCTTATGGGGGGAAGTGATGTTGTGAATTCTGGTGCATCCAGTTTTACTGGAGATTCACTTCATTTCGTTGTACTGCATATTGGGGTGAGATTTGGGTTTACTAGATACACTAGGGGATTAGTGTGTCTATAATTTGATTAACTATCATTTTGGTAAATGAACACCCGATTATATTTGTGGTTACACGCTTCCAATGTAAGATTCTTTCCGAGTTCCCCGCTCTCTCCGCGTGCCCCTCGTGGGCCGGTCCTGGGGCGTACCCAATAGGGTGCGCAACCAATAGGGTGCGCAACACTAAGCCTAGTGCACTTGCACCCTATTGGTTGTGTTGCAAGTGGTCCATCTTTCTGGAAATCATAAAAGTTGTGGCCTGGCGCTTTGGCACTTTAATGGCCTATAGGGGTCGCTGGCTCTAGTCGCTGGGAACTGCTTTCTACCCGCTGAGAAACAATCAACCCCCTCAACTACTCCAGTAGAGTCTTCTCGGAAGCTGCTCTCCACCTGCTGAGGGGCAAACAATCCCCCCAGTTACTCTAATCGGGTTGCTAGAAGCTCTTCTCCACCCATTGAGAGGTTTAATGGACCCCTCAACTGCTCCAAATTAGGTGTTGAGAATAACTTTCCACCCATTGAAAGGGTCTATGAACCTCTCAACTGCTCCTATAAAGTGCACTCATAGGCAAAAGTTCTCTGGAGGCTCGCTGCTATAGGAAACCACGTTCCTCCTAGACCCCTACTTTGTAAAATCACAGAATTGGGTTTGGTTCACGCACAGGCCACAACGGGCCATTACTTAGGGGGCCCCCCTTCACAGGGGTTGCTATTGGCCCCCCCCCACCCCACCCCCGGCCTGCAGACTACATGGTGGAATATATGGGGTGGGCGGATTTCCTCAGCTTCCCCCTGTTATGTCACTCGAGGGTGTCTAGTCATACTTGCATTGAACCCCGCTACCCCGGGTGCCCCCTCCACCCATTCACTCTGCTCCCTGCACCCCTCCACGGGTTTGGCACCCACTAGCCTACGTCCCCCGCCACCGAATCTCTGCGCGGGTCCACGGATCACTTGCCCCGCCGCCAGATCCGGGTGCCCCTCGCAAGCAGCGCCATCCAATGCCCAATCTGGTGGTCAATCCCCGTGCAATGCGCCCCCCGCCGTTGGGCTCGGCACGGGGATCGCAAACCAACGCCCCCTGCCGTCGGACTAGGCATAGGAAGCAGCAGAATGCGCCCCCCTCTGCAAGGCCAGGCGCTTGGTCCGGTTCGGAATCCCCCCCGGTTTAGGCGGCGCCGTGAGGCGCCCACCTGGTCGGCCCGTTTCCCTCTTATCTCTCGCGAATAGGGCTCTTCCCGCCGTCCAAGCCCGACTCGTGGGCCACTAATGGACACAAGCTCACAACACCCGACTTGGAGAGCCCCGCCACTCACGTAACCCCCATGTCGCAGGGTCGATTTTTACACAAGAACGGTGGGTTAGACTCTAAAAATTTCATTTCCGGCGCGCTTTCTAGTTGGGTTCCCAGCTTACAATATTTTTCCCAAGAATGCGGCCGAAAAATCGCCCAGCGCGCATTATCAGCCAGCCCTATGAATGCCACCCCAGCCGCTGCGGGGCCGGCTTTCGCTCGACGCTCCCTCTCGGCGGCTCTCGCGCGAAGCATACTGCATGAACCGGCCCACAAACCCGTGCGGCCGGCAGAGAGGCGCCTAGAGATCAGCGAGGATGGCCCAGCCGTCGTTCGGGGGGGGCGGGGCTCCCGGGGGCAAGCCGCCGGACCTGATGGGCCTGGAGGAGAAGGCGCGCAGGTGGCAGCAGCTGAACGCGCAGCGGTACGGTGAGAAGCGCAAGTTCGGCTTCGTGGAGGCGCAGAAGGAGGACATGCCGCCCGAGCATGTGCGCAAGATAATCAAGGACCACGGGGACATGTCCTCCCGCAAGTTTCGGCACGACAAGCGCGTGTACCTGGGTGCCCTGAAGTTTGTGCCCCATGCTGTGTACAAGCTGCTGGAGAACATGCCGATGCCGTGGGAGCAGGTCCGCCACGTGAAGGTCATCTACCACATAACGGGCGCGATCACCTTCGTGAACGAGATTCCTCTGGTAATCCAGCCGGTGTACATTGCCCAGTGGGGGACGATGTGGATCATGATGAGGCGCGAGAAGCGGGATCGGCGGCACTTTAAGCGCATGCGGTTTCCCCCCTTCGATGATGAGGAGCCGCCATTGGACTACGCGGACAATTTGTTGGACGTGGATCCCCTGGATGCGATTGAGCTGGAGCTTGACAAGGACGACGATGCCGCTGTGTACGACTGGCTGTATGAGTCCAAGCCGCTGCAGTACACCAGGTTCACCAACGGGCCCTCCTACCGCAACTGGAAGCTCCCCCTGCCCATCATGGCGACGCTGTATCGCCTGGCGGGGCAGCTGCTGAGCGACTTGCACGATCGCAACTATTTCTACCTGTTTGAGGTGAACAGCTTCATAACGGCCAAGTCGTTGAACATGTGCATACCCGGAGGCCCCAAGTTCGAGCCCCTGTACCGAGACATGGACACCAGGGACGAGGACTGGAACGAGTTCAATGACATCAACAAGCTGATCATACGATCGCCCATCAGGACAGAGTACAAGGTTGCCTTTCCTTACCTTTACAACAACAGGCCCAGGAAGGTGCGGCTCAGTCCCTACCACTACCCCATGGTGATGTATATCAAGACGGAGGACCCAGACCTTCCTGCCTTCTACTACGACCCCCTCATACACCCGATCGCCTTCTACAAGGTTGACAGGCTCGGGGCCGGCTTGGCGGAAGGCAAGGATGGTGAAGAGGAGGTGGATGACTGGGTGCTTCCAGATGGTCTGCAGCCTTTTTTGGCTGCAACGCCCTTGTATACGGACAACACTGCAGCCGGCGTTGCCCTCTTGTGGGCGCCTCGGCCCTTCAACCTGCGATCTGCTGGCACCAGGCGAGCCATCGACATTCCTCTGGTGAACGAATGGTTTCAGGAGCACTGTCCGCCAAATTATCCTGTCAAGGTGCGGGTGAGCTACCAGAAGCTGTTGAAGAACTACGTGCTGAACAGACTGCATCATCGGCCGCCAAAGAATGTGAAGAAGAAGTACTTGCTGCGTGCGCTGAAAGCAACGAAGTTCTTTCAGAGCACTGAGCTGGACTGGGTGGAGGCCGGGCTGCAAGTGTGCCAGCAGGGGTACAACATGTTGAATCTCCTCATTCATCGGAAGAACCTTAACTACCTCCACTTGGACTACAACTTCAACTTGAAGCCAGTGAAGACTCTGACGACCAAGGAGCGCAAGAAGTCCCGGTTTGGGAATGCGTTCCACCTGTGTCGAGAGATCCTTCGCCTGACTAAGCTGGTAGTGGATGCCAATGTGCAGTTCAGGCTGGGGAATGTGGACGCATTCCAGCTGGCCGATGGCCTGCAGTACACCTTCTCCCATGTGGGTCAGCTGACAGGGATGTACCGGTACAAGTACCGGCTCATGCGCCAGATCCGCATGTGCAAGGACCTGAAGCATCTCATCTACTATCGGTTCAACACAGGGCCTGTTGGGAAAGGCCCAGGTGTAGGGTTCTGGGCACCAATGTGGCGTGTGTGGCTCTTCTTCCTGAGAGGAATCGTTCCTTTGCTTGAGCGGTGGCTGGGCAACCTGCTGGCCAGGCAGTTTGAGGGTCGGCAGTCCAAGGGCATCGCCAGGACAGTGACCAAGCAGCGCATTGAGTCCCACTACGATCTCGAGCTCAGGGCGGCTGTCATGCATGACATCCTTGACATGATGCCGGAGGGAGTGAAGCAGAACAAGGCCCGCACCATCCTGCAGCACTTGAGTGAGGCATGGCGCTGCTGGAAGGCCAACATTCCGTGGAAGGTGCCAGGCCTGCCAGCGCCTGTGGAAAACATGATTCTGCGTTATGTGAAGCAGAAGGCTGATTGGTGGACGAATGTTGCTCACTACAATCGCGAGCGCATTCGGCGGGGAGCAACCGTGGACAAGACAGTTTGCCGCAAGAACCTTGGCCGCCTGACGAGGCTGTACCTCAAGGCAGAGCAAGAACGGCAACACAACTATTTGAAGGACGGGCCATATGTCAGTCCAGAGGAGGCTGTTGGCATCTACACAACAACAGTGCATTGGCTTGAATCAAGGAAGTTCTCGCCGATCCCCTTTCCCCCGATCAACTACAAACATGACACAAAGCTCCTGATCTTGGCATTGGAGCGGCTTAAGGAGCAGTACACTGTTGCAGTGCGGCTGAATCAGCAGCAGAGGGAGGAGCTGGGGCTTGTGGAACAGGCTTACGACAACCCACACGAGGCCCTGAACAGGATCAAGCGGCACCTGATGTCTCTCCGCCAGTTTAAGGAGATCTCCATTGAATTCATGGACTTGTACAGCCATCTGATTCCAGTGTACGAGGTGGAGCCTCTGGAGAAGATCACTGACGCCTATCTAGACCAGTACTTGTGGTTTGAGGCGGACAAGCGCCACCTCTTTCCGAACTGGGTCAAGCCCTCAGATTCTGAGCCACCGCCTCAGCTTGTCTACAAGTGGTGCCATGGGATCAACAACTTGGCAGATGTGTGGGAGTGTGGCAATGGGGAATGTGTTGTGATGCTGCAGTCACAGTTTGAAAAGCTATGGGAGAAAGTGGACATCATCATGCTCAACAGGTGAGCACTGTGGTAGAGCTCAGTAGCTGCTGCAGTGTGGTGGAAATCCTTATTGATGCCATTTGTCGAACCAGAACCAGTGGACATCGTGGGGAAGTTGTGCAACCTGCCTTGCGATCTTGTGTAACCTGTAGCTATGAGCAGATGTCGTGTTGAGATGTGCACCAGTGCTTGGGTTTGTCTGAGAGTCATCCCCTTTTCACCAAGTGACAAGATGGTGCGAATGGACCAAGCCAAGGTTGTTCTGCTTGTTAGCTGACAGCATAAAATGTTGTGTAGCAGTCTGACATGGATGTTGTCAGCTTGAAACTGGAGCTCATGGCTTATGGCCTGTTTGACACCTGTCACAGCAGACAGCCTCGCTGGCTTGGAAACTGCCCTGATTGGAATTGCGCACTCGTGGAGCAACTGCAAGTGGAACATTCAACACAAGCCCAGTTGCAGAGTGTGCTTGAGTGGCATGTGGGCTTGCTTTAAGGTTCCTTGATGGCAACCCCTTGGTAACTTCATCATGGTGTGTTGTGCAAGCCGTGTGGTGTGTCTGAGAACTGATGTGCGGCTCTTGCAGGCTGCTGCGCCTCATTGTGGATGCAAACATCGCAGACTACATGACAGGGAAGAACAATGTGGTGATCACGTACAAGGACATGAATCACAGCAATGTGTATGGATTGCTTCGTGGCCTTCAGTTTGCATCCTTCATCACGCAATACTATGTTCTCATACTGAGTCTGCTGCTGCTTGGACTCACCCGGGCATCTGAGGTTGCTGGCCCTCCTCAATTGCCCAACGAATTTCTGGCGTTCAGGGATGTGGCGACTGAGACACGGCATCCCATCCGGTTGTTCAGCACATATATAAACAGGGTGAGTAGTCCATGCCTTGCGAGGTTGCACACTGATGTGGTTTGCTTTGTGCAGTGTTCTTTCGGTGTCCTCCCTCACACTGGATTTTCAGCTGCATAACAGACACATACACAGACACATTTCATAATAGCGATTGACTGTGTCCTGTTGCTGCACAAACACAATGACACATTCAATACCTCAAGTCTGGAGGATAATCAAGAATCGATCATACAAATGCTATCGTGTTTGGATGTCTTATTCAATACATGCTAGAGACTTCAAGAGGGGAAGCCACTTGCTGCTGTTTTGCCTCTGGTGGAGGGGTGGGTGCCCACTTCCTGTGCCCATGCACCTTGTGTTCCTTTCTTGCTTTCCCACTTTGGTTGTGCATTCACTGAGGGCACCATGTGTGCACAGATGTGCTTTTCACAATGTTGTTGATTGTGTCAAATAGGCCGTGACCAGGAACTGAATATGCTGATGTACATATTTGGTGATATGTTAGCAGCATCCCGACCACCGTTCACTAACCACAGCTCTAAAGTTGGTCATTGTAGTTCTCAAAAGGGGTCTTGTAATTTCCTGCACTTGGATGTGTCGAGCTGCCAGGTGGACTATTCGATTGGAAGCTGTGTTGGGGTCCATTCTCGCGGTTTGGGATGGACGTTCGCATGTGCATCACAACGGGAATCAGATGACTTGCTCTGTGTCAGCATGCTGATGTGATGATCTTCTTTCTTGACTGCATTGTTGAACCCCCAGAAACAGTATTTCTAGTGTGCAATTTGTGGAGGGTCAGCCCTGAATCGTGTGAAGGCTATTGGCTTGTTCTATGGGACAACGGACCATATCCGTTGTCCCAACGGACCATGGGCTGTGGGGCACTGGGCATGGGCCAGCTGAGTCTACAAGATGTCACACATACATCCTTGTTGTAATTGCATTTGTCATTAGACAAAGCAAAAGCACTTGCACCAACTGGCGCTGTCAGGCAATGGTCCCAAGCACATGTTTGTGTTTGAACCACCCAATGTGAGGAGTCACACTTGGTGTTTTGTGTTCTTCAGATTCACATTCTGTTCAGATTCACTGCTGAGGATGCACGTGAGCTCATTCAGCGGTACTTGACAGAGCACCCTGACCCAAACAATGAGAACATAGTAGGGTACAACAACAAGAAGTGCTGGCCACGGGATGCGCGCATGCGCCTGATGAAGCATGATGTCAACCTTGGCAGGGCTGTCTTTTGGGACATGAAGAACCGGCTGCCGCGCTCTCTCACAACATTGGAATGGGACAACAGCTTTGTCAGCGTGTACAGTCGTGACAACCCCAACCTCCTGTTCTCAATGTGTGGTTTTGAGGGCAGAATTCTGCCAAAGTGCAGGATGGCTGCAGAGGGTTTCGCTAGCAAAGATGGTGTGTGGAGCCTGCAGAATCAGCGCACAAAGGAGAGGACAGCACAGGCCTTCCTGCGTGTGGACGATGAGGCGATGAAGGCATTTGAGAACCGGGTGCGCCAGATCCTTATGTCATCGGGCTCCACCACGTTCACCAAGATCGCGAACAAGTGGAATACTGTGCTGATTGGTCTCATGACGTACTTCCGTGAGGCGACGATACACACACAGGAACTGCTGGATCTGCTGGTGAAGTGTGAAAACAAGATTCAGACAAGAATCAAAATTGGTCTGAACTCAAAGATGCCTTCGCGCTTCCCTCCAGTCGTCTTCTACTCACCAAAGGAGATAGGAGGCTTGGGCATGTTGTCAATGGGACACATCCTCATACCACAGTCGGATCTCCGCTACAGTCAGCAGACGGACCTTGGGGTGACGCACTTCAGGGCGGGCATGTCGCATGAGGAGGATCAGCTCATACCAAATCTGTACCGCTACATTCAGCCGTGGGAGTCCGAGTTTGTGGACTCTGAGCGGGTTTGGTCAGAGTATGCTCTGAAAAAAGAAGAAGCCAAGACGCAGAACCGGCGGCTCACTCTGGAGGATCTGGAGGACTCGTGGGACCGTGGCATACCACGCATCAACACGCTGTTCCAGAAGGACAGGCACACCCTGGCATACGATCGTGGGTGGAGGATCCGGCAGGAGTTTAAGCAATACCAGCTGCTGAAGCAGAATCCTTTCTGGTGGACTCACCAACGACATGATGGCAAACTGTGGAACCTGAACAACTACCGGACGGACGTCATTCAGGCTTTGGGAGGCGTGGAGGGCATATTGGAGCACACACTGTTCAAGGGGACATATTTCCCGACTTGGGAGGGTCTGTTCTGGGAGAAGGCATCTGGCTTTGAGGAGAGCATGAAGTACAAAAAGCTGACAAACGCCCAGCGGACTGGTCTTAACCAAATCCCCAACCGGCGGTTTACGCTCTGGTGGTCACCAACGATAAACCGTGCCAACGTGTATGTAGGCTTTCAGGTGCAGCTTGACCTCACGGGCATTTTCATGCATGGCAAGATACCCACTCTGAAGATCTCGTTGATTCAGATCTTCCGGGCACATCTTTGGCAGAAAATTCATGAGAGTGTGGTGATGGACCTTTGCCAAGTGTTTGATCAGGAGCTGGATGCCCTGGAAATAGAGACTGTCCAGAAAGAGACGATCCATCCTCGGAAGTCGTACAAGATGAACTCGTCATGCGCAGACATACTGCTGTTTGCCGTCTTCAAATGGGCAATGTCGAAACCATCCTTGATGGCCGACACCAATGATGTGTTTGACCAGAAGGCTGGCACCAAGTACTGGATCGACGTGCAGCTGCGGTGGGGAGACTACGACTCCCACGATATTGAACGGTACATCCGAGCCAAGTTTCTGGACTACACGACCGATAACATGTCGATCTACCCTTCTCCAACAGGTGTCATGATTGGCATCGACTTGGCGTACAATTTGTACTCCTCCTATGGCAATTGGTTCCCAGGAGTGAAGCCGCTCATCATTCAAGCCATGGCGAAGATCATCAAGGTCAACCCATCATTGTATGTGCTGCGGGAGCGCATCCGAAAGGGTCTCCAGCTGTACTCGTCCGAGCCAACAGAGCCCTACCTGTCGTCACAGAACTATGGGGAGCTGTTCTCAAACCAGACGATCTGGTTTGTTGACGACACGAACGTGTACCGCGTGACGATCCACAAGACGTTTGAGGGCAACCTGACAACGAAGCCCATCAATGGCGCGATCTTCATCTTCAACCCCAGGACTGGACAGCTTTTCCTCAAGATCATTCACACAGGCGTCTGGGCGGGACAGAAGCGCCTTGGGCAGCTTGCAAAATGGAAGACAGCTGAGGAGGTTGCCGCACTGGTGCGCTCCTTGCCGGTGGAGGAACAGCCGAAGCGGATCATTGTGACACGGAAGGGCATGTTGGACCCTCTGGAGGTACACTTGTTGGACTTCCCCAACATCGTGATCACTGGCTCTGAGCTGCAGCTTCCCTTCCAGGCTGCGGTGAAGCTTGAGAAGTTTGGAGACCTCATCCTCAAGGCCACGGAGCCACAGATGGTGCTGTTCAACATCTACGATGACTGGCTGAAGACCATATCTTCCTACACTGCGTTTTCGAGGCTCATCCTCATTCTGCGGGCGCTGCATGTCAACCCAGACAAAGCTCGGATGGTTTTGAAGCCTGACAGGACTGTCGTGACGGAGAAGCACCACATCTGGCCAACACTGACGGACGAACAGTGGATGAAGGTCGAAATTGCTTTGAAGGACCTTGTGTTGGCAGACTATGCCAAGAAGAACAATGTTAATGTTGGGGCTCTTACCCAGAGTGAGATACGTGACATCATTCTTGGCGCAGAGATAACCCCACCAAGTCAACAGCGGCAGCAGATTGCGGAGATTGAGAAGCAGGCGCGGGAGGGAGGGCAGATGACGGCTGTCACCACACGCAGCACCAATATTCAAGGGGATGAGCTCATTGTTACCACGACCAGCCCTTATGAGCAGGCGGCATTTGCATCGAAGACGGACTGGCGTGTGCGCGCAATTAGCGCAAGCAATCTGCACCTGCGGGTGAATCACATCTATGTGAACTCTGATGACATTCGAGAGACTGGCTACACATATGTGATGCCTAAGAACGTGCTGAAGAAGTTCATCTGCATTGCGGACCTGCGTACACAGATCGCTGGGTTTCTGTATGGCTACAGTCCTCCTGACAACCCACAGGTGAAGGAGATTCGCTGCGTGATGATGCCTCCACAGTGGGGCAACCATCAGACAGTCAACCTGCCATACAATGTTCCAGATCATGATTACCTCAAGGACATGGAACCTCTGGGCTGGATCCACACGCAGCCCAATGAGACGCCTCAAATGGCACCCCAGGATGTCACCCAGCATGCCAAGTTCTTGGAGACGTTCAAAGAATGGGACGGGGAGCGGTGCATTCTCATTACCTGCAGCTTCACGCCAGGATCCTGCTCGCTGACGTCGTACAAGCTCACACCTGGTGGGTATGAGTGGGGCCGCCAGAACAAGGATGCCAGCACCAACCCTCAGGGATACCTGCCAACTCATTATGAGCGAGTGCAGATGTTGCTGAGCGACCGCTTCATGGGGTTCTACATGGTTCCGAAGGTCACAAGCTGGAACTACAATTTCATGGGGGTGAAGCACACACCCAACATGAAGTATGCGCTGCAGTTGGCAAATCCAAAGGAGTTTTACAGCGAGGCACACCGCCCTACCCACTTCCTGGAGTTCAGCAGCCTGCAAGATGTGGAAGCTGAGGCAGATCGTGAAGATCACTTCACGTAGGCCACATTGCACAACAGCAGTGGCGCCTGTGGTGCTTACTCTATTCTGGGGAAGCAAGTTGGGTGGAGTTTCTGAGACTCAGGTGCGGCAGGAATTGGGGGAAGTTTTCTTGTTGGACGTGTGGGGTATAGACTGTGGAGGCTGGTGGGGGCAACAGCGGCCCAGCTGTTGTCTGCACTGCCTTGCCCAGGGCATATGGATAGTTGTGGGCTTGGGAGGCTGAGTGAATAGGTGACTGTAACAAATTGTGCAGTGTAGGTACTGAACTGAGCGTGCAGCATTTGAAGAGTGGTGGGATCGTGTGTTGTGTTGTGGTGAGGACGCGCATCAAAATGTGCCGCCCTCGTTGGGGTGGGGTGGTAGTTCTGGGGCACCTCCCAGGGTTCATGTCATTTAAGTTCTATCTTCGCTGTCGACAAAAATCATTTGGGCAATTGTCCCGTTGCTTGACACAGTGCATGGTGCGAATAACCATCCCTTCGAAGCACATTCTGTGCTCCATTTGGGAATGCAGCTTCATCACCATCGTCATCATTTTCTACAGAGCAAGGCTATGAGGTAGCAGTCAGCTTCCTATTTTACACGAGCAAAGCAGTGCCTATGATCAGTCCGTTCAAATCCAATGTAACACAAGCAAAGTATACGAAACTGCTAACTTCTAATGCCGACTGTCGACTGTAGATGAATGCAGCTTCACTTCAATGGCGGAACCCGTTGCTCTGTGTCCCAACGGGCCGGAGCGCAGAGCGGTTGGACACACCAGAACTTTGTGACCCAAATCGTCAATTGACAATGCTGCCAGAATGCACTGAAAGCAAGATAACCCACAGCCGCAAGCCCCCCCGCCACAAGCATCGAATCACACCCCATCAAAACTGCGGCGGCCCACGTGGCGGCACCCACGACACGAGCGACCGAATCCAGCAGCAGCCACCCATCAAGCCGCCGGCACTCAAGGAGGAGCACCAAACCGGGCCAGGGGAGGTCAACCGCTGGCGGCACGTTCGAGCGCGATCAAGGGAGTGTCGTGGCTTGTTGCTGTTGGTTTGCAGCGCGAGGATTCCGCGCATCCTCAACGCGCGCACTTCGCTCGAAAAACCACAACATCGAGCCGGCAATTATGCGTGGCGGATCGCTCAGCCCAGTTACAGTGGTCGCAGTCGCACAAGCCTGGCCCTGATCCGCAAGGGGGGGCCGTTCGCGCAAGCCGGGCTGCGCTGAAACTCTTCACAAGGTCAACTTCCGTTAGTCTTCGACGTGAGCAGTGTGCGTGATGCGTTTGGCAAAGGGCTTCTGTCCATCTCGCTGCCAACGCAAAGAGATGGTAGGCACATATGGGGTGGAAGAGCAACCCGCCACCGCCACCTGGACAACTGCTGCGGCGACCATGGAAAATGTGTGCGGCAGTGCTTAAACCAGGGAGTACAGAAAAGATTGTGCACGGCAACAATTCTTGGTTGCACTGGAGTCAGGGCCCAGCAACTGGATTTGCGGTCACGCCACTGTGACAAAAATTCTGTAGAAAGGGGTGACTCTTGAATTTGAGAGGCGGACATCCCGCACACTGAAGAGGCGGCGCTGCTGCAAAGCACCTGGCAGCAGTGGGACGGAGTACCCTACACACAATGAATGCACTGCATTGGAGTGCCACGCATGGAGGGTCGCATTGCCATTTGCAGCAAGATTAAGGAGCAAACCAAGATGATCCCCCGTATGTCTGACGCGAGGCATACCAGCTTCTGTTTCAGGCGCCCCAGTCTTGCACATCAGTTGGCAATGTGCACGCTGTATCTCTATGAAGGTATCCAACCTCGATGCCACAAATTGTGGTCCAGGGGCCCGTGGTGAGGATGGCCCTGGGCAACACCTACAAGAAAGCAGCTGATGATGTGGGATAGGCACACTGGGGAGGTTTGATGAGAGGGCAACAGATTGCTGTTGTGTCCCTTCACGATGCCACAAGTGGAAGAGCCACCAGGAGAAGAGGGAGCAGCAGTTGATTTTGCCACCAAGCTTTCAGGTCAGCAGCCAACATTTACCGCCCGTCAAAAACAGGCGGTGGTGGCACACTTGGCTTGTAAGAGTGAGGGGCCACCTGATTGAGGTCACAGAGTCAAAGTCTTGCGCCAACAAGCAACAGCACCTGCTGGATGCCAGTAACACAAAAGCAGGTGGTCGCCAAAAGGTTCACAGCTTTTGTTGTTGCTGTCCATGCGGACACCACACCAACCCCCAGTGCATTCATGGTTGAAACGCACTACACAATGCAAGCAACCAAGGAATCCCATCGCTGGACAATGTCAAATACCATCGTTACAACATAAACCTGCCTTCATACCCATCAAAAAGAGGTCGCCCAAACGATTCCAGCCAAACATGCTGCCACTCATTGTCTCACAGTCCTGACCTTGCCAGGCGGCAGCTGCCATCCCCAAATCGGCAAAGCAGCTTCCATTCCCTGCTGCTGAATCCTGAATTCTCTTCTGCATTGACAACATCGGCCAAACAAACCCTAAAAGAGCAGCGCTGGCCACCTGGCTTCAGTCTCAACAACTCCAATGAAAGAATTGAGAGTCAGTCTTGGCAGTGTCCACAAGCAAACGGGCACAACGGGGCAAGGGGCACAGCATGGGATGTCATGCGGGTAGCTGCTGCCAGTGCGCATCCTAGGTACAGAATTTGTTAGCGGTGAATCTGGTGTGTGCTAATCAGTGGAGTGTGGACCTGTCCATCGCCAGTATTATCCGATCACACCTAAACGCAGCAACCTGCGTTCGCTTCGATTGGTACACGTGCATGGCGTTCACAATTGTCTTGACGACTGGGCCACAGAGTACAGAGGAACAATTGAGCACAAATTTACAGGCCAACCCTGGCATCATAACCCTGCCATGGAATGCACAACGCTGTGCCAGCAATTAATCAAACAAAAGCAAACGTGCGCGTGACCATAAATCAGCCAGTGATTGCCTTTATCCTGACAATCTTTTCTTGAGCTGGCCCAAATTTCCCTCCTCCTGTCCTCCTCCATTCTGCCAAGAATTCGCAAGCAAACACAACGAGGGGCCCCCTCTCCCTCCAAACTCCAAATCCACCCCACACCCAGCTGCGACCCCCCAAGACCTCCTCAAGCACCAAAAAGGATTAGAATACGTGAATCCCCACTGAAGTCCACTCACTGCTCCCATCCGAAAACATGATGCAAATCACCCTGCTTCTGTTCACCAAAGTGCCTGACAGACAAGTGTCGAAATTGGTCATCAACTCGGCGCAACCACAGAGAGTCGGTCTGTTCAGGGAAACCAACGATGCCGATCAAGTACTGCCCAAATCTACACTGAGCAGCTCCCATCCAAGGATTCTCCACATCCAAACTTTCAAACGTTCTCTTCAGATATTGTCCACACCCAAACTTCGCAATGCAGCCTCAGCCCCCTGCACTGGACTGGACTGCTGGCTGCAGGCATCGCTAACAAAATGGGCGCCGGCCCAAGCTCACTGCGGCCATTCTTGGGGTCTGTTCCATTGTGTCACATTCGTGTGGTGGTTGTGGTAGTAGGGCTCACCAGACTCAGGGTCTCTGCGCACAAAGTAAATAGCAACAAGTCAAGTCGACTTCCAACGGCTGGCACTGAGCAAGTTGATGTGTAATGAACCTGGTTGTGACTTTCAGGCAACAAGCTTTGCAGCCACAGACGCCGGCAGCACTTCTGAGGAATGTAGGCACTGCTGAGCACCTGTACATGGTCCAGGCGTTTGGACCAGGGACGGGGTAGCCATGGACAGCGTAGAAATCCCGGGGTGGAGGATTTGGGCTGTGGGCAGCTGCCACATGAATGGGCCCGCTCCCCCTGCCCACAGGCCCATATCCGCTGTTTGGGGTGGCTCCATACACTCTGCTGTAAGGACCAGCGCCATTAGCGTAGGTGCCGCCATACGAGGCGCCTCCGCCACCACTCCGGTAGTCGTACATGCTCTGTGCAGGGCAACGATGTTGTGAGTACAGCCACACATAGAGCTCCTCCAGCACATCGCCATGAAGCGCATTTCCACGACTGCGCTTCTCAGCAAGTCGAATTGGACACAACCGAGCAAGACAGGAGCACAATTCAATTTTCATTGCAATGAACCCTACCACAGAGGGATTCTGGTGGGGAGACAACAGCCAACAGGAAACTTTCTGGGCCGCATCAAAGCACAGGGGCCATCAATGCCCCTCCGTGCGCTGCATCAGAGCAACGCGCGGCTGCAGCAAGGCTTGGCGTCCGGCGCCATCGGCGGCTCATTGCAAAACATGCGCCCGCGGATCGTCGCCGCTTTGACCATCAGGCGGCGGGTTTCTCTGGGTGATCGCAGGCGAGAGCTGTTCCGCTGAAACGTGCACTGAAACGTACTGGACGCGCGTTCATTGGCCTGTAGCCGGAGTCGAACGACACGCTCCCGAAGAAACCGCCCGGCCGCCCCCTTCCCCTGTCCTTGTCGCTGGGTTCTCGGTCTTGGCTGAAGCGGCTGGGACTGCTCTTTGGCGGCAACTTGCGGAGCTCATGCTCCCCGTGCGCAAAGTTGCAGCGGGAACCAAAGCGGCACTCTCCCGCAAGCCACCTGGACAGGGGCAGGAAACCTCAGGCAATGGAGGCAGCGGCAAGAACCGTCGACCAAACAATGCACCGGGCGCCGGCGACGGGAATACGCCCCCAAACCCACCTCAGACACAGCTTGGTTTTAGCGTTCTCCGCAGTCCCGCGAAAGCCCCGCCTCTGACCCCTTCCATACCCGCTCTCCCCGGAGAACCCGTCAAAGGATTGACCCCTCTCGCTCGGAAAGGCCCCATCCATAACCAGCTCTGTTGGAGGGATCCCCACAAAAAATTGTGCACCACCAGGGGCCGGACACAAGCCCCGCGACGTGCACACCAAGTCGAGAGTGGACGGTTTTAACAGCTGAGCGGCGGTGTGCCCTGCACGATTCACGCGGCTTTGGTTTGGCCAACAAGTGATGGGAGTCGCCGTAGGATGCGCTGGTCTGGTTTTGAATGGGGGCTGCCGTCCGGCTTGGAATTCCAAATATGGAATTTAAGCTTCGTGTGTCGCCGCTTAAGTTACGGCGCCACCGTCGCAGTCGTGACCCTCCTCGTCGCTGTCGCGGCCTCTCCCACCCTCATGACCTCATCCCCCCTTTCGGAAGCAAAACATCCATCCTTTCTTTTAAATGGGGGCGCATTTCGTCCAGGCATCTGTCACTTCTCTCCTGTTGTGGCCCTGAAGGGCGCCGCTGGTTTCCGAAGCTCGTGGGGTCGCCACGCCCTGCGGCTTGGCTGTTGGAGGTCAGCCAGCACTCTCCACCGATTTCGGTGGGCGGAAGCGGGGCGCTCGTTCCCTCGGATGCGCGGTGGGCCCAGAACGATGGGGATCGTCCCCCGGGGCCTGCTGTATGCGGCGGGTGGTGGCACAGCCAGTCGGTGGCTCGCTGGTCGCGGAGAGACCAGACAGTGGGCCAGAACGGTTACACGAATTCCCTGCATGCACGCGCACAAATCCGCATGCGCGATGCCCGATCGCGGGTCCATCGCTATCACATCAAGACAAGACAACACAAGTGCGCGTCCAGGCACATCGTCACCATCCACCGTTCACCTAAATCAGCTCCGCATAATCCCCGATGCTTCGATCTCCCGGTCCGAATCCCATGCTAAAGTACTGCAACTTCAACTGACTATAACTTCGCCGTTTCTACACGGAATTGGACGTTTCAAGGCGCTATTGGCATCAGGAGCTCCTAAATAAGCTGATTTTAATGTATTTGCACTTTTTTGACCAACCGCCGCTTCAGAAAAGTCAATTTTAGCCTAACCCCAAGTAAGCACGTCACATCTCCCCTATCACCGAAACTGCACCAGGGGCTGACCCGGGCCCACCGGCATCCGCCCCTAGCTCCCAACTACTCCCCCGAGGGTGGGCCGCGGAACCGCCATCCCCGGCCCGTCGGCTTAATGGCGCGGACGCGGCCCCCGCCCTCGGGGAGTGGACACCCCTCCCGGTTACTCCCGTCTGCCACTATCACTGCGTCCCTCCCTTACACCCTCTTCTCCCCCCCAAGCGCTACTCCTCCCTGGTCTGCTGCGCGCACTTCTTGCAGGGTTAGTGCGGGAGCAGTTGCACGTTGCGTTTCGGTTTCGTTATCGCTGCCACCCCGTGTTTTTTTCTTTTTTTGCTACAAGCTGCCTGCCCCCCGCTGCGCGTTTGTCCTGCTCTCGACCGCTGCTCACCGTCCCCACTCCCCCTGCGGACCTTCCCCCTCGGCGTTGCTCCACCCCGCCCTGGGGCATGCTTGATCGTGGCTAGCCCGTTCTCGCCGGGTGGGTGCGTTCGGTCTGGCCTCTCTGCTCGCGCCTGCATTTGTTCCCACCTGGCATCCGCTGACTCCCTCCTTGCTTGCATAGCGTCTCCCTTCTTGGTCGCCTCCTGGCTCCTCTTCGCTGCACTTCTCTGCGCGTCGCCTTCGCTATCGTCACTCCGGGCGGTCGCATTCAGCTGGAAATTCTCCTGGCGGCATCCGCGCTGATGCCTGTTGGCTTCCACTTCAGGTGTTGTCGGCCTCATGTCTTCCTTCCCTTTGTTCCGCTGGTCCCGCTAACTGAATCCTCCCTGATGCTTTGTCCTGGCTCCGCCTCGCACTTCCGCGCCCGTTCCTTGTTCTCTCTAACCTGTCTCCGCTTGGATCTATCTGATCGTTGCGGTTCCGGTTCTTCCCCTGTTCTTGGTGGCCTCCCGTTCCTTGGTTGTTCCTCTGTTGTGGCGTGGGTCCCTGTCAGTCCGTCGGCTGGTCCGCGGCGCCCACCAGGGTTCCGCGGCTCTCCGTCCCAATCGGCGGCTGCGCATCCCCCCCCACCCAATTCCGCCGCTTCCCGGTCCCTCCTCCCAGCTTCATAATCTCGCGCAGACGCGTAGCTTTGCGTCCAGCGCCAGCGTGCGGTAGACGTCCACTGCCCCGCTCCTCCACCGTCCATGCGCCATGAGCCATACCAGGGGGACTCCCCTTTCCTCTGCCCACGATGCGCCGCCCACTCGCAGGCTGTGGGAGGATACGGGGAGCGCCTCCAGGCCCAGTCATGTCATGTCCCTTCCTAACTGCCGGTGTAGGATGCGCAGTCTGCGCGTGACGAACACGCTGGACGCATACGGTCCGGTCCAATTGCCTGCTCTGCACCGCTGGAACACGGGTTCAACGGGGTCCTGGAACTGCAGCAGGCTGAGGAACCTTCGCACCACCATTGCAATGTTGATCCCAGACCCGGTGCACCCAGCCAGCACCACCTCGGCCCCTTTCCCTTGGATGTCCGTCTTGCTCCATCTTATTCTCACTACCATGTGGCTCCCTGCGTCTATCTCTCCCAATCGGATGTCCTCCACGCGTAGCCAGTGGACCTCCGATTTCCTGAGCATCCCGAAGATCCCCAACACTAGCATGGCTGCATCCCGGGCTCCTTCCAGGAGGGTCGTGGGGTCCTCCTCAATTCTCTGGTCGACCTTCCTCAACACAAAGGCCAGCAGCGAGTGCGGGTAGGCGAACTTGGGGGACTTCGCTCCCCTCGCCCTTACCCTCTTCGCCAATTGCCTCGTTATATCAAAAAGTCCCGGCTCTGCCCCTGGGTACTCCAATCCTTTCTCGAAGTGCCATCTGCGGGCTACAGCCAGCGTGTTCTGAACCGTTGCTGGGGCGTAGCCTTTTCCTTGCGCCCAAACTATGAACATGCTCAATGTATCCGGCGACAATGCGGCGCCTGGCCCGGCCGGGAAACAAGTGTGCCTTGCCCCCATCTCGCTTTACCACCACCGATCGAATCTTGCCAATCCCGACTAGTAAGTCGTTAGGGTGGTCTCTTGTAAGGTGGACGCCTTAGAAACCACTACTTGCCTGGCCAATTCCAAGTTCCCCGCAGTCCTCGGGGCCCTTGAGTTGCTCAACGTGCATTCTGGACAACAAAATACTCCTGCTATGAACGCTCTGTTCGGCACCCCTATACATTCCCGATGGAACCACCCATGACACGCTTTGCACCACAAAGCCTCGTCCTCCCACACTTCCCCCGCACACCATTGGCAATTCAGCGGTGGCCCACGTGCCAGGGTCTCCGTGTCCAAGTCCAATCCGAGGAACGTAAGGCGGTGTGTGGGGGTCACGCGGCCCTCGTCCTTAGACCGCTTCCAAACGAGTCCCAGCTGGTCAGACTCCCGGTCCATGGCCGCGAAGGCCTACTGCAACATCTTGTGCGAAGGCGCAATAAGCAAAAAGTTGTCGAGGTACACCAGAACCTTACATATTATCCCTTCTTGTTCAAACAACTGCATAAATATCTCGGCTGCCGCTGCTGTCAGGCCGCAGAAAATACCCGGGCTCTGCTTCGCCCCAAATGGGAGTACCCGCCACCGATACAACCTCCCTGTCTCAGGGTGTCTAAATCCCATCAGCCTCCGCGCGCTGACATCCAGGATCACGTGGTGGAACCCGTGTCTAAGGTCCCTCTTCCCCAAAAAATCCCCCCGTCTGATCGCACGCAGCGCGTCCTCCGGCTGCGGAAGCATCACCGGCCACGCTGCCATGCAGCGGTTCATCCCGGTGATGCTGGCGTCCGTCAAAGGTCTTATTTCCCCGTCTGCTTTCAAATTTGCCCCCCAAGGGTTCACTGCGATGGCGAAGTCATGCTCGCTGCTGTGGACGTGGGGGTCATAAGCCTCCACAAGGTGCTCCTCGATGTATCGGTTGATCTCAGCGACCAGCTGGGGGCGAAGCTCCCGTGCTGACCCATGGTCCCGGCGCTTGCAGAATTGCGGATGGTCCACCAAAAGCCATTGGGCAGCGTTCCGTATCGCCTCGCTGTCGAATCCCCAGTGTTGCCAACGAGATGTATTGAGCTTGACGCCTTCCGGACCGTTGAACCATGGCTGATCATCTGGCTGTGTGTCAAAGCAGGCAGCATCGAAGTCCTCGCAGCAGAAGTTGGCTTCGTGCACCCACGGGGAGGTCGAGGAGGCGTTGGCGTCCTCAAGGGAGGGAGGGATGCTCGCAGGGGCAGCTGCAGGTGGCGGGGGACACTGGCGCTCTGCTGGGAGCACCATGGCAGCGGATGGAGGTGCGCTCGTGTCCCGCCGGCTGGAAGGGGCACAGGGATCGGTTGGCCCCCGGCGCAGGTCAGGGGGGCGGGTCCCAATGCGGACTTCGGCAGGGTTGTCAGCTGGTGGCGGATGACGGGAAGGTCAGAATTGCTCACTGCGGGGCTGGTGGTGTCAGAGCGTAGGCGGCCTGACCGGGGGGGGGGGCGGAACTGAGCCTGCGGTGCTGATCGCAGCGGCGGCATGGTCGCCGGTTGCTTGTCCCCCCGTCCAGCTGGTGGGGCCCCGCCATTGTCGAAATCGCGCCCCCCTGGTGGGGGCTGGGTTGATCCATGTGCAGGGCTATCCCAGGCGGTGGCCTGCGGCTGGTAGAGCGGCGCAGCATCGCAGCCGGAACCGTTCCCAGGCCCACACGAGGGGGGCACTAGGTCCGCTGGCCGTCCAGTCGCTGCGACGCCCGTGGGGCGGGAGACGTCGCCTTTCCCAAAGCGA